CACACAGTCTTCGTTTTTCATACAAATACGTTTTAATATATATATACAACAGTACAATTTACAACAACAATTATTACGAATAGTTACCACAAGTAAAGTTTTATAAAACAAAAATTTCACCAACTTGCAAACAACACAAAAATCTTCTTATTAGTTCAGAGTCTCCTTCATATTCTGTGAGTTAACTTGAAGTCGATGTACATGCAATTGCCGAGAAGCTAGCTATCTTTGTCAGACACTAAATTGTTGGACAGTTGAAGTAAGATAATATTTTCATAAAACCACTAATGTCCAATGAGAATTCAGTAATATTTCCGGTAATTACGGTTTATAACGTGCGTGCACGGTTATAACAGGTTCCTAGCAGACTTATATGCTCTCTTTTTCTTTCTTTTTTTTTGGCGCATCGCCTTTTATAGGCGCTAGAAAGATTTTCTCGAAAGTTCAGACAACGATACTGAGCTATATTTAACCGGTTACGGAAGTGGATATATTGTCGATTCTTGCGTTCACGAATATTCTACAATCTTGGAGAATTGGCGGGAGTTTCGCCATACGTAACTAACACTGTAAGCTAGGCACGTTTTTAAATATAAACTCCTTCCAAACAAACGTTTTGTTTGTTTTGTTTTTGAATTTCGCGCAAAGCTACACAAAGGCAGCTAGTCATCACCACCCACCGCCAACTCTTGGGCGACTCTTTCACCAACGAATAGTGGGATTGACCGTCACATTATAACGCCTCCACGGCTGAAAGGGCGAGCATGTTTGGTGGGACGGGGATTCGAACCCGCGACCCGCAGACTGCGAGTCGAGCGCCCTAACCACATGGCCATGTCGGCCCCGAAATTTGTTTCGCTGTGATTAAAATAAACATATAACAAATTTGTTATATGCAACACATATCTGACACTATAAGTTGCGCATGTTTTTAAATACAAATTTAATCTAAACATCGTTCATATTAAAAATAAATACATAACAATAAATTCGTTACAATGATAAGTTCTATAAAATAAGAATTTATGAAATGAACCTCTAGGTTTAAAGCTGTCTATGACTGTACAATACTGTATACGTAGGTTTACGGGATGTTTATATTTCTAAATGACTACCAAAATTGTTAATATCGAGATCCAAAAACGACAGCTTTCATTCATTTTCTTCTTCAAATGTAAACTTTGTACTATGATTTTGTTTGTTTAAATACCCTAAAAATACATTCCAACGTTCCTTTTTTTTCTAAAAATAACGAAGGTATAATCTTTAAGAGTTTTAAACCTGTTAGATACCATAGATATGTATATTTTAGCATTGTTTTAGCCTAATTCGCATGTCTTCATCCACTATAGCATCTATGAATTGTTAACATGGCAACAAAGACACCATTTCACGTAGGCACCTAGACAACTGGCAAGCCTTTCTACATTTTATGAAAGTTCAGCTAAGGACTCGTCTTTCCTTCCATCTTACACTGTTCCTAAACTTTGCTTTGAAAATTCAATCCTAATGTTACACTCCAAATATATTTCATAACAAAGCCACCAATGGCTGATAGTTGTTGTGGTTTTCAGCTGGAAGATTGCTTAATATTCTTAAGACCTGTTCTTTTTAAGTGAGCAGCAAGATGAAATGATTTCAAACTGTGCCTGATTTGTCTCCCAATGTACATTTCTATCATATTCTGTGGCACAGCGATATGTCTGCGGACTTACAACTCTAGAATCCGGGTTTCAATACCGTGGTGAGCAGAGCACAGATAGCCCATTGTGTAGCTTTGAGCTTAATTACAAACAAACAGACATATTATGTTGGTTTCTCAGTTGGGTTATGTTGTTGAACAGGCCTGCTAAATGCTGTAACTTGATGAGTTAATTATATAGATGAGGGTAGTGCATAAAGGTTCTTTGGTCATCTATGGCACAGCATTAGTTCATATTTAAATATGTTTGAGGACAAATTCTTGGGGCCAATTTGATTTTGCCAGTTCACTTTCAATATGTTTTATTCTTGAACTGATATTCTTTTCTACCTTGCTCACTTTATCTTTTATTCATTAATGTTTTTTTGTATTTCTTAATTTTTTTCCATTACGGTCTTTCTGTACTTCATAGATGTATTTATAATCTCTCTGCACATCTACAATAGTTTCTTGATTTTTTATAATTCTTCTCTAACTTTACATCTTCTTAATATTAAATTCTTTTCTCTTTCTTCATAGCCTTCTTTTAATTCTCTCTCTCTAATTTTCTGTAAATTTTTTCTTGATTTTCTGTCCAGTCGTTTGCATGCTGAACTGTAGGTTTGAGGTTCTATGGTTTGTCTCGTTACCGCCAACAAAATCGTGCTCTGCATTTTGGGCCATGGATCCATTATAAGAGTGATGGTTAAATCCTATTACTTAGTTGGAGTCCCACAAGAATTAGTGGTAGTGATGTTAACTAGCTACCATCCTTTTAGTTTATCAATTCAAAATTATGAACTGACAGTACAGGCAACTCTCGAACAGCTTTACACAAAATTAACCAAAGGTTTTCATCTTTTAATTTGTTAATCAAAATAATACCACTTCTGACATAAATATTTTAGTGGTTTCTATCATTGGACGGGTTCATTTTTGATTGTTCGCTAAAAATAATGCAAGGCTTAGTACATTTGATGAAAGAAAAGTGTTGAAAAGCATTTTATTTCTTCAACTGGAAGTTTTACAATTTACATGGTTTCACAAACTAACGATAACCAAGCAGATAACCAAAGGCTTCATCGATACTGTGTGTAGCAGATATAATGTGGTTGGAATATTAATACTTTGTCTTTATTTTCAATCATAAGTCCTTATGACTAACAGTAGTCTACTTGTTAAATTTGCTCTCGTATCTATGGCACAAACTCAAATTGGCTGACTAATATACTCGGTAACTAACCCAATGATCAACATTATCAGACTCACTAATTAATTCACTGTCAACAATATACTTGTCAACAACAGCTCTCTCATGTTTTTGTATCATTATAACAATTTTCCCCAAGTCTAGAAAATTCGAAACGAAATATGCACACACTCAGGAAATGTGTAAGTGTTATACATTTTCACTACCTCATGCCAAATTTGCCTTTAGTAAATAATACAAAACGTCTAAATAAAATATTAAAACATAGTTTACAACAGTTGTTTCTAACTTGAAATGTTTAATGTGAGCACAACAACTTCCCATGGGATGTTGTATTTTAGACAGTGTGGTCACAGTAGAGTTTTGTTACTCCTGTTTTGAACTACTACTGTTAAGTTTTATACGACCGCATCGTAGAAGAAATTTTGGGTGGGACCCACGGGTGGTCAGACATTAGAGAATCTCTTCATCCTCTCTCTAATGCTAGAAATGAAATAAGTTAATGTTAAAAGTTGATTAGGTTGATTATTTTGTTAAAATTGCAAGATTAAATGTTGATTTTGTTTCATTGGGGAATTAGAGCCAGAGAAAGTTGAGGGATGGTATTCAAGGTAGTTTGCAAAGAATTTTTTAAGATTTTAATAGTCTGGTAAATATCTTCGAACAGTTTTGCTAAGAGTAGACTCCAATAAATTTGTGTGGGAGACGTCTTCTATCTCTTGGTAAGGATTCGGAATTTAAAACCCTAGATGTTCGGAAATTTAACAGTTTCCCTTTTCCCTGCTCATGGTGTAAGGATATCACAACTTTTTTGTGTGTGTGGAGGGGGGGGGCACATATATAGACATACACACACAAATTCGGTTGCTAAAAAGAAAATTGTCAACAATGTATGGCCTCGAACAGGAGGAAGGCTATGACTGATGTTGACGGTAGTGATGAAACTGTTTGTTGTTCGAATGTAGGCGTCGAGGATCAATAAATATTGTGCTAAAAAATTAGATGTGGGGAAAAACAAGAGTGCCCCGAAAAAACCCTACTTCCAATGAGCGAGGCTCAATTCTTTAACACCTTTACTATATTCACAATTATTATTTTATCTTTCTTTATACAGTTTTTCTTTCAACTTGCATTGTTATGACGTTATAAGTATAATTTATTTCCAAACCTTTACCAAAGTTCAGGACATCGTTAAAATGTTCTGTACACACACACACACACACACACACACAACAAAACAATTAAAGAAAAAGTTACAAAACTTGTTGTTTTCCTCGTTCCCCA